CGCTCTTCCTGTTTTACAGCCTTAAAACAAAGACCCCTGGGAAGAGATCAAAGCCACTGGATGTGACCCCCTGGGGGTCCCCGTGGGGGGTGCAATGCCCTCGCTGGAGGACACCTTTGCCCAAATCGTTTGCTGCCGCCCAGGGTTGATGGGGACCTCGGGTGATGCTCATGGGCACTGAGGGAGCCCAAGGAACGTGGTCATCTTCATAACTGTCTCCTGGGAGCCAGTGACCTCTCCATATCTCTCCTCTCCTCAGCCCATCCCTCCCTACAGCTCCCCATCACACTGAGAGCAGAATGTAAATGCCCACCAACGTCCAGGGGGCCTCCCTGCCCTCCCCTCCTCCCTCTCTCCCCCTCCCTCACTCTGCTGCATACACACGGGCTTCCTCTTCGCTGTTCCTGCAACACACCGGGCATTGTACTGCCCCAGGACCTTTGCACGGGCTGTGCCCTCTGCCTGGACCACCGTCCTGTCATCCCGATTTCACTCAAGAGCCCCCTCATGTCCACCGGGCCTTATTTTTACTTATCCCAGCGGACCGTGAGCCCCACGGTCTCCGTTTGGTGGCTGCGTCTGCGGGCCCCCGCACGGTACCTGGCATGTGGCGGGGAGGTGGGGAAATACTGGTTGACACCACTCGAACAAGACTGATCTGTAGTGACCAGACCAGCGGGCGCCTGGGGAGGAGGAGGGCGGAGGGAGGGGGTGTAAGGGGAGCCGGGGGCGTTTGGGACGACGCACACACCACGCCCTCCATGTGGGATGGCTTCATGGGTGCCTGTCCACTGTGCCTATGGAGAGAAACACTTAAACCATTTTTATACATGAACCTCAATTCCAGAACGAGGTTTCGGGTACATACGTGTACACACATCCACGTACCTGGGGGTGTGGGGACAGGATAAGGCTCCAGCATGTAGATGGTGGCCGTCTCTGTCTGCTGGGCCGGTGTTGTTGCGATTTTCCTTTCCTTGGCTACAGTCAGTGGAAGTTTTGTTGAAAACGAGGAAGAAATATCAACCTGTGTTGAAACAAGGAGCTGAGGGGCTGGCTTTGCCCCTGAGACGTGGGGAGTTTTACATGAGTCCAGTGCTGGGGCCAGAGCCACCTTCCAGCCTCAGGACAGTGGGG